TGTAACATGAATCTTAAAAGGTCTTATTAATACTAACAAACCCAGAGTCAGGCATTGGGGTGAATGATGAAAGATCAGAGAAACAAAACAAACCATATCCAACTTCACCTTGCCAACTTCTAGCTGATCTTGTTTCCTCAGACTGAAAGCCTCTGAGTCCTCACCTGAATGAACTAAAAAGCCTAAAAGCTTAAAAAGCCCCTAGTTCCTGGTCCTCACACTTTATATACCTTTCTGCTTCCTGCCATCACTTCCTGGGATTAAAGGTACGTGTCTTTCCCAAGCAAGACATGAGATCCCAAGTGCTAGGATTAAAGGTGTGTGCCACCATGACTGGCTCTGTTTCCAGTATGGCCTTGAACTCACAGAGATCCACAGATGGATCTCTGCCTCCAGAATGCTAGGATTAAAGGTGTGTGCTACCACTGCCTAACCTCTATGTTTAATATAGTGGCTGTTCTGTTCTCTGACCCCCAGATAAGTTTATTGGGGTGCACAATATATCAACCACACACCGTTTGTGATATAGATAAGCAAGGGAAAATCATATCTACCTAGTGGATCAATCTATATACCAGGAACTACACAAGCTATTTTTCATGTGTTTTTTTTATGTAGATTCATACAACCCCTTATCGGAACTAAATCATATACCTCTGTTTGGTAAGTCAGTTTCATAAACAATAGCTACCCCAAATTCTAATGTTAGTTCCAAAAGGGCTAAAGCAGGGAAAGTTAGAGAAGTAGCAGAATTTTAAACATAAGATTCAGAGGGGGTTATGAACAGGACATGACTGAAGCCTAATGTTTATAAAACAGAAAGCAAAGAGCTACAGAAGCATCTTTCTTTGCCACAGAGCTAAGCAGATCTTTAGAAGCTTTGAGGTTACCTTAAGATCTTAAGTTTAGAATCACTGTAAAGACAAATGGAAGTCACTAGGGAGTTTTAATCATGAGAGAAAGATGATTAAATGTAATGTCTACAGGGTGGTTCTGACTCTAGAGACAGAATGAACTGGATAGCAGTAAGAAATAATGACAGTGAGGTAATTTTTTAAGAGCTTTAAGCCAGGGAAAAGCTAAAATGGCCTAAATCAGGATAAAAGCAGTGGTAATGAAGGGAAGTCAAGGGGTTCAAGAGGTATTTAAAAGTTATCATGCATGAAATTTTTGTTTAGGATTGGATATAGAAAACCAGAAGGAAAGAGATATGGTGAATAACTCCTACTGCCTTGCTCATGAAGCTTGACATTCTTAATGATTCGGAAGAGTGCAATGGGGGAACATCCACAGAATGAGGAGGACAATGGGGGAAAATGATGAGTTCAGTTACAGGGATGCTGATTTTGAGGCTCCTAACAAAATGCATCCAACAGGAGATATCAAGAGATTTGAATATACTGATATGAAGATCAGACGAGATGCACACTTGAGGGTAAATCAGCATATAAATGGTTATTGAGGCAGTGAAAATAAATGAGAATGCCTGACATCCTGTGTAGTGTAAGAACATCTGAGTGCCTAGGAGACAGCCCAAAAGAGCACTGAAACTTAAGTGCCACAAACTGGAGAATGAGAAAGATAAAAAAAAATTGTAAGAAAAAAGGAAAATCAGTAATTATTGTACCAGAAGCCAAAGGAACATAATGCTTCAGGAAGAAAGATTTGATTAAAAAAGCAAAATGTCCTCTAAATTTAACAACCTTTTGACTGATATTTTTTTCCACTGCATTTAATAAAACAAATGCTTGTTAAATCTGGACCCAAGGACTAGAGTTTTATTGTGGATTCAGCAATAATGAATAGGGGAAAAAATTAGAATCTACATTCATAACTAACCTTTCAAGAATTTTGGGAAGAATTGGTGTATGATGACAGCTGAACTATGACACAGGTTTGAAACACAGAGTTTGGGGAGGAGAGCATTATTTGTAGTATGTTATATAGGTAGAAAAGCTTGAGACACTTTAATTAATGGGGAAAATCGGAGACAGTCAAGGACAAAGAATATTATAGAAAAGGGGAATAAAACATCGTGCAATATTGCAGTTTCCTATGTGAACCTAACTGGGCCACAGAAGCCCAGGTACTTATTCAAACACTTTGTGCATTTCCACGAGTGTCTTTGAATAAATTTAGCATTTGCTCTGAATAAAGCAGGTTGCCCACCCTGATGTGAGAACCCTCATCCCATCAGCTGAAGGCCTTAATAGAATAAGGCTGACCCTCTCTTCAGTAAGAGAGAATTCTTCCTGCCTGACTGCTTTTAAACTGGGCATCAGGTTTCCAGAGTTATTGTTACTAGGACTCATTCTGAAATAGGGGAAGGGAGCAGGAAAACATGAAGGTTTGCTGAAGTCAGGAGTAGCTGGAACCACACAAGCTAGCTTTAAGATTTTACCAAGTGTTGTCTGCTGACTTTGTATGCAGGCAAGTATGATAATGAATTACTTACTCCAAGACTAATATTTTATAATGAATAAGAACTGGTATAATCCATAATTATAAACTTAAAGACAATCACTTCCGTGAGTATCTCAATAGATACAGGAAAAGCATTTGACAAAGTTCAACTTGACTTCATGCTAAAAGGCCTAAAGAAACTAGGAAAAGATAGGGTATACCTCTATATAATAAAGGCAATATGACAAACATAGCCAATATTATACTAAATGGGGAAAAACTAAGATAATTTCTCCTAAAATCTGGCATGAGGTAAGGTTTCTTGCTTCTCCAATTTTATTCAATATAGTGTGCTAAGTCTGAGCTAGAGCAGGAAGTGAAAAGAACAATAATTAAAAGGATAAATTGAAAGGAAGAAGTTAAACTACCCTATTTGCTAGTGACATGAGCTTCTGCATCTAATAAACACTTTCAATAAGGTAGCAGAATATAAAATCAACATATAAAACTCAGGAACTTTTATATATGCCAATGGTTAACTTGCTAAGAAAGGGATCAGAAAATGTATCTCATTCACAAATAGCCTCAAAAAGAATAAAACATCTAGGAATAAAGCTAGGCAATGAAACCTTCAAGACATCAAATGATTGAAGGAGCTTCCTTGCTCCTGCATTGATGGAATGCATATTGTAAAAGTGGCTGAACTACCAAAAGCAGTCTACAGATTCAACGCAGCCACCATCAAGATCCACTAAGAAGAAGGAACATATATGGTGTTCGTCTTTCAGAGAGCCTGGGTTACCCCCCTCAATATAATGTTTTTCTGTTCCAACATTCTACCAGCAAATTCACCGATTTTACTTTTCTTTATGGCTGGATAAAATTCAGTTGTATATGTGACACATTTATTATTATCAATTGACAGACATCTAGGTTGATTGCATTTCCTTATCTTTGTGAAAAGTGCATCAGTGACCATGTATGTACAGGTATCTCTGGTAGGGGCTATGGTCCTTTAAGTGTAAGATGGAATCTTAAAGTCATTTTCATATATTTATGTATATCTAAAAGTAATGAGAATGTGTCCATCACTTACTAATCTAAACGGGATAGGGAGAAGAGCTGGGAAAACAAAGCCAGGGTTTCAGGGAAACTTTTCCTCAGTCCTCATTTCCTCTATTCAGTGACATGACTACTGTCCCCAGTGCAAAACATTATAATAGATTCACAAGTACAGTGAAAAATTAGAGAATGTCATTACCTCTGACTGCAGAGAATCTAGGAGGGCCTAGATGCCAGGGCAGCGTAAGTAAATTTAAAGAATGTCACAGTGTAAGCTTGGAATAGATGTTCTGGCACTGGGTCTGTATGGGAAAAAGCAGAAGAACAGAAAAAAAAAATTTTTTTCCAGCACAGCAAAGGTTTTACCTTATTGAGCGTAGAAGAATCCCACCCAGGAAGGAGTGAAGGACAGTAGCAGAAGGAAACTCTGAATGTAGAGAAAAGATGAAAGTGCAGAGAGTATTTTTGTTGAGGAGAGCTCTGGCTTTTACCACTTGCCAATGGGCTACAGAAAATACTACAGGCAACTAAGGGACGATGAGAGTAAGAGAAATATGAGCCTATGCATGCAACAACAGTTAGTGAAAAAAAAATTAACCATGAATCTAAAGGAGAGCAGGGAGGAGTGTGGGAGGGTTCGGAGGGAGGAAAGAGAAAAGGGAAGTGTTATCAAATTATAAGCCCAAAAAGAAAAAAAAAAAGCTTCAAAGGAATAAAGAAGAATGGAGCTCCAGCTCTGTTTTTATTCTCAAAGATTGTTTAGATTGTCAAGGATGTTTTGTGCTTCCAGAGTGAATTTTAAGGTTTTCTTTTTCGATTTCTTTGTAGATAACAAATGGTTGATGGGTATACATTAACAAATCTTTTTCCTGAATTCCCATGCCTAGAAAGACCATTTATATTCAGCATACACTCCTAGAATAATATTTTCTTTTTCCTTCATTTTCTGAAAATTCTGATGATTCTTTTTCACAACAACAACAAAAAATAATAATCCAAATTTCAGCTGTGCCCAGAGGGGACACATATCTGAGTCTCAATGATTAGCAAACTTGTGTCACTAACCACAAGGCCCATCTAGGCAGGAGGATGAGGAACCAGCATAGCAAGACCATTTTCAGTGAAAAATGAGATAGGAGCAAGCATTCCACTGAGCAGAAGAGTCTTAAAGAACTCTTAAGCTTACACTTTTAGATAAGCTGAATTAAATGTCTTCGTTTTTATAATTCCCATTTTGACCAATATCTTCATTGGGTCATTGGAATGTAACTTTTCAACAACAGCAACAAAAATAAAAACTTTGAGAGTAAAATTCAAAATAAACAAGCAAAAAAAAAACCCTCTAGTTATGGCTGCTTTAGATAAGACAATGATGAAGTAAATGAGACTATATGTGTATATATATATATATATATATAATGTATATATATTTTTTTGAATAAGGTTTCAATTCTTTTTTAAGAAAAAATGTTAGTAATATTAATTTATTTATCAAAAAGTGTGATTAAGTGTTACCATTTAATATCTATTCTATTGCCTGTATTCACCAATTTTATTTTAGGAAAGCAATCAACTTCATGATCATATTCTCTCCCCAGCATCCAACAGAACTTTCTAGATGCTCTCGATTTACATCATTGTTACACTTAACAAAAAGGAATAATATTGTCGTCTGGTTTTTAATAATTCATAAAGGTCTCATGATGTGTTTCAGGACACTTCTCAGCATGTCCTTTGAATGCACTATTTAAATTTCTCTCTTTAAACATTTTACCTTCCTCCTTCTCTCTATTTATTTAAAGTTCATCCACAGAATTTTGCCACCAATTATCCCATGGCTGTGGTATTTTGTTACTTAAACAGAAGCCATAAAAGCAAAGAATGGCTATTTTAATCCCACACAACTAATCATGCAGCATTCACTAGCTTCATTTGCAGCTTTAGCTACAGATATTAGATGAAACCATCTACAGATATGACTTTCACACCTTGCTCTAATGCCTTTCATCTACACCAGGTGGTGTGAATGTTGAAATTTTTAGTTTAATTGTATGTGTGACTTCTGGAATCATGACTTTATGATATTAAGTGTGTCAGGTGGCTAATTCTCCCTCTAACGATATTGTATAACAGCAACAAGCAATTCCCTCCTGTAAAGATTTTTATCAAGAAGCTTTAGGCCAAATAAAATCAGGATAAATAATAATCGTATACCCTCAAAATCACATGTCACCAGAGAGCTGAGTCTTAGAGGTTTTAAAAAAAAAATGGCATGTGTTTCCACTAAGAAGTTTGTGTAATTTAGAGGAAAGAGTTGGGAAAATAAAAAGAGATTATATTGCAACAAATTGAAAAAAAAGGAAAACATAGACTGATAAAATGGTTTTAAGTGAATATTAGCCATTAGTTTTTAATAGCCTAGAATTTAATATTTTTTTCATTGATAAACTTTACTAGAGGTCTTCAGAACCCAAGTGTAGGGTGTATTTGTACTTCATTAGGGGGTGGATTCTAATATGTTCCTACTTTCACTCCTGCTCTTCTCTCCATGTCTTACATATAAATGTATGTATATATTTCTATAACACATAGGAAGGGCTGACTCTAAAGAAATTCATGCCTTGGTAGTGGTATCCAGGAGTATGTACGGATAGGAAAATGAGCAGTGTAGCATGGACAAAGGACTGACCAACCAAGTTGATACAAATTCTCCATTCTCCTCCTATCTGAGAGACTCAGACTAGGTGAGAAATCCATCCATGCCAGAGTCAGCTTCCAAAGATATAAACAGAACAAGGGTGCTCACACATAGAAAAACAAAACCCACAAACATGCTTTATCACTATGTGTTCAGGTCAGCTGTAAGGAGCCATTTATTTACATGATAAATCCCTAGGCTGAGTAGCCAAGAGAACTGTACCATAAGTTAGTGTTAACCATGCATTCAGCATATATATACCCATTCTGTGGTTAGCAGCACATCCTATGGAATATGCAATATTGAGTAAAATGAGCAAAGCCTCTGGGTTTACAGATTGTACTTTCAGTGTTAGAGCCATATAACAAACATTGAGTAGTTATAGCTTATAGGAATAGATAAAGAGGAATGGGATGTCACACTTAGTCCCTGAAAATAGCCACTTGTATTCCATTTCTCCCTTTAAGAAATATACTCTATTTTTTTCTCCTTGAATACAGGTTAGCCTTCTGACTTGCTAGACTAACAGAATAGGTGAACTCCAGGCCTTACAGAAGGAAGAAGGGGAAGAGGAAAAGGAGGAGGAGGAGGAGGAGGAGGGAGGAAGGTGTGTATGTGATTAAAAAAAGAAGCTGCAGCAGCTGTGTTGAGCCTCTGGGAACCCAGATACCCAACTAGAAGGGTTTCCAGGCTAATCTTCTCCAGTGGGTGCCCACTTTGAAATGTGATAGAGAGGATGATAGGAGTTAAAAGCAAGGGTCACTCTCCTCAGTTCCCACCTGCATTCAGATATGTGAGAGACCTCAGCTGAAGCTTTCCACAGAACAAGAAACCCCAAACCTAGAAATACCATTCGGAACATAAATTGTTGCTATTTTAAACCATTAAATGTATGGGATATTTAGGTAATGCTACAAATTACTAAAACCTCAGGGAGGAAGGGAGAGAGGAGTATATTAGAAATTATACAAGTGGAGAACCTGTTGTTCTCCATATCTTTTCTGAGGATAGAACAAGAAGGAAACATTTAGATAGCATAAGGAGAGAAGCAGTTGCATTGGGTAAGAACTAGCTAAGGTAAGCAGAACTAATCCTACAGGCTGCTGAAAAGGAATGTTTCTAAACTACAAGTCAAGAGATAGGGAATGCTCTTGCTGACCCAGTTACCAGTCCCTAACCCTGGAGCAGCACATGAGAAAATTCACATGCTTGCCTCAACCACATCTGGGTCTGACACAGATGATGAAAGCCTAACTCTCAGGCTTAACCAACAAGAATCAAATGGATGAGGCCAAGTGGGTCATTGTACGGGGTACTGGTGTATTTTGCCAGTGTTGTGTAGCTATTTTCTCTAAAATGAAACAGTCCTTTCTGAAGGGAGAAAGAAGGCTCCTAAGACCCCGGAAGCTGACAAAACTTCCATGTAGTTACAAAAAGATTCCTGCTGGGTGGTGGTGGCACACACCTTTAATCCCAGTACTCGGGAGGCAGAGCCAGGTGGATCTCTGTGAATTTGAGGCTAGCGTGGTCTACAGAGCAAGATCTAGGACAGGCACCAAAACTGCACTGTCCCGAAAGCCTGTCTTGGAAAAAAAAAAAAAAAAGATTCCTCGAAACTTAACAGAGAAGACTTAACTGATGTCATGACTCAAATGGACTTAATCAATATCTACAGCACATTCCATCCTAACAAAAAAGAATATACCTTCTTCTCAG